ACATATACATTATTTACTAGGCTTAAAACTATTTACCTTCAACTAAAATTCTCTAACTCTTAAGTCCCCTATCACCCCCACTGCACAAGAACAGAGACCAAAAAACTTCTCATTATTGTTTTTGTATTGTAAACTGCTACCTATTCTGTAGCCACCAATGTAAAAATAGTATTTGTCTACTTGTTTTACTTTTTATCCAATGCCAGTGATTTCATGTTTAGCGTTCTTCTGACTCCCTAATCTATTACCTATGGATTTTGTGGAATCCCTTGTGCCTTTTCCTCTGATTGTAATCTGCAAGTTAAGGTGTAGAACTGTCATTCTCTGGAGTATTTTGTCCCTTTGTTGAGATGTTCCTTCTCATTCTGATTACCTCATAGAATTCTCTACATGTGAAACATTTCTTATTTTGACATTTACTTGGCACAGTGTGACCATGTCATACTTGGCCTTTCCTCCCCTGGCAAATTGCTGGTCATGTACCTTACTTAGACTTCTGCCCTGGCAACATCCATTAGTGGAGACCCCAGATCTGAAAGGGCACACCTGAAAAATCAGATACTTGATTGAGCTCTTCCCTGAGACCTCTGCTAAAATCTTTACCTTTTGAAATCAGATAGAACTCCATTAAACAAAAGAAGTAGTTTACATTCTTCTTGAGGCACACTTACTCAAATTTCCTTTTCAAGTAAATTCTCTTTCTTCTAAACTCTAAAGGGTCCTCACAAGACTTGCCACTAGGGGAACAATGGGCAGTGGCAGCTTGTCCTGGGCAAACCTCCTGAATTGTCCCCAAAGCTCCTATATTTTTGATTCTGCTATTGGCTGACAGCAGCCCCTCCTAGCCTCACATCTTTCCCATAGTGTTCTAAGACAGCCACAGCAGCCCCACCCAGTCTCTCTTCTGGTCCCATCCTTGTCTCACTGTCCTCAGCTTTAATAAACATACTCCCAAATCACTTGGGCTTGTTTTGTGAAACTTTTCCCCCACCAGGTGAAGAACCCAAACACTACCAGTAGGCTTTAGCAAACCTGCCCTGAGTTTGGTCACCTTTCTGGTAACATTTTGAAATTTAAACAAAATGTTATTGCAAAAAGTAAAAGGAAGGAAGGGAGGGAGGGAGGGAAAGAAAGAGAAAAAGAGAGAAAGAGAGAGAGAGAGAACACAAGAACACAAACCAAAAACAGGTGTGTGTACACTTAATAGAAGTTAAAAGTAAGTAGCTTTCTTAATATGTTGGTTGTTTCTGAATAAGTAAAAATAGACAAGCTAAGAAAATCAAAGAAATTATAGAACGTTACTGGAAAAAATATTGAAAAAGGAATTTCATGTATAAATGCTTGAACCTAATTATTTAATATTCTTACACCCTAACTCAAAAGGCTTACTAACTATATTAATTCAAATGGAAACTGAAATGGCTATAAAACACGGCCCTCCATACCTGCTGCTGAAGCAAAGGAAATGTACTTATGAAACTTTTACTGCCCTCCTCACCTTGGAGCTTTCAGATGGTGATTTTAATTTATAGCATTGTGTTCTCACAGCCTGGTCCCTGAATAAACCTTAAGGTTACAACTTGCAAGTGTATAACTAGCAAAAATCATATTAATAATGAATAATTAATAATTAATTACAGGTGGGCCATAGTGAATGATAATCCATTTCATGGTGATAATGTTTAAACTGAAGAAGTGTGTGGTGTGCCCTCAAACTATAAGTAAATGTAATACCAGATACAAAATACAGAGAAATGAGACAACAAAACTCAGTCTATGATAGCTCACAGGTTAGAAATAACCCAGAGTATTTTTCTAATAAGGCCTGTGGAACTGACTGCCTCCCATTTACCTGCTTTTGTCTTTTGAGAACATTAGGCTTTGAATTCCAGCCAAGGTAAAGGTCTTGCTGTGTCACCAATGGTTTATCATTCAGCAAGACAAACCCTGCCATTAAGACTTTCTAAGAATCCCTTCTTAGCACTTGAGACAATATTGTCTAACCAAAAGATTGGTCACCAATGCATCCTTTAGACTGATTTATAACTGAAATGGGGAAGCGTGGACAAAAGAGAAGCCACATACTAAACCTGATGAGCTCAGGGAAAGCTTGTGTGGTGGACTTACAAACTCAGAGACCTAAAGTAACTACATAGGATGGTCTGAAATTAAAATTTTGTAACTAAAAGCAAGTCAGTATGGGTACTTGTGTCCCGGGCTGTATCTTTTTTGACAATGGTCCATCTTCACCCTAACAGAGCCTGTTCACTCTCTTTTTCCATCTACTATGACATACCTTTAAAATGTAAGAATAATTTCTGGATAGGACAGGGGAACCAAGAATCTGTGGTCACTTGCTTCCATCTCAAAGGGCCTGAGGTTTCTACAAGAACCTTTCTTCCCCTAACAGAAGAACCTACAGAGCCCCTGGTTGAGTATTCATTCACCTGGAGATGATCCAGTTCCTGGGCTCTGGAAGGAGTCCCAGAGCAGATGACAGACAGGGACACAGATGACTTATATTCAATGCCCAATGTTGTGATGGAGGATATATGGTACCTTTGGGGATCAACCCATCAAGCCAGCACCCTCTCCCAAAAGCCTCAGGACAACCTTAACTAAGCCTTTCTTAGAACCCCTGAAAGAAAAGAGCTCTGTCTGAAAGAGCACAACCCCCTGGTGGGACAGATCTCCTGGCACTGGATTCATAGTAGTCTGGACAATGCCTGTCCCCTTACTGAGCTCACCCTGCACTGGTAGCATCACTGTGCAGCACCTGACATTGGTTGTAGGTCTGCTCCTGACCTCTAGGGCACAACTTTGAGCCACACAAAAAACACATAGAAATTCACACACGAACTGGCTTTGGCTAAGAAGATGGAAGAGTCTGATTTTCATCCTCTGCTTCAACAACCTTTCTCAGGTCCTCCCTCCTTCTTGCTCTGCCCCACCTGCTACTTCTGGAGACTGTTAACAGAAAGGGGCTATGCAGTAACCCTGACAAGCTCAGGGGCCACATGGCAGGTCTGACAAGCCTCACAGGATATTCTGATCAGAAATTTCTAACTGGGCAGGAGATAGCAGTTGTCACATCCCAGGCCTATACCTTGCTTAGCAAAGGTCAATCTTTAGCATAAGTGAGCCTTGACCCCTGCTTTTATGCATCTTAAATAGTATGACTTTGGCACATCAGAATGATTTTCTTTTTAGACCATTTGAAGGCACAGACTCTAGGACAAACACACGAGATCCCCAAACACTTCATATTACCTGGTCCCCTGCATACCCTCTCTATGTCCTGTAAATGTTAATTATTCTGTACTCATGAATTTTTAAAAAGTATATGTTTCTCCATTTTGACTTTTATCTAAACCTAGAGATTTCTCCATTATGCTTTTTCTCAGGCCCTAATGAGTTTCTTGAAACTATTTTCATCTTCTCCTTTGATTATAATATATAAAATAAACTGCAAAACTGCTAATTTTTTTTGCAGGATTTGAGATCTTTCTCCCAGGCATATGGCTCAGATAAACTCATTAAATTGCTCCACGCGTTTGGATATTTCTCACTTTGAAAGAACCTAGGAGCACCGCCTCATCCAGGGAATTCTGTGCTGGCACCACCCATGAGCAAGTCTGGTGACCACAAGAAAGCCTCCCAAGCAGAAACCAGAGGTTGTCCCAACAGTCAGAAAGCATATGAACAGGCCGACAAATATACATGGAGGGGAAAGGTCTATCTGAACCCATCCCTCCATGACAAGGAAGCCCACAGGCACCTGACATTTCACCATAGTCCTTTCTTCCTATGACATGCAGGACACATCCTCCTTCACACCCAAAAACTGAAGGATCTACCAAACTCTTGGTCATGGGTCTCTGTCCCCAGAAGCAGAAGCCAAGCTGGTGACATGTGAGATAGAAGATGGGTCTCTATGCAATTATCACCCAGCTTTACCCCTTCTACCCCCAGAGTCATCTCTGGGACCTGCCTGCTGGGAGAGAATAAAACCCCAGAGCATCTGAGAACATGAAGCAGCCTGGATTCCCAGCTGGGTTTTTGTGTCACAAGCAGAAATCACCCCCATTTTCAAGGACACCTGGAGCTCTCTGTGTGGTTCTGACATACCCAGAACAAAATCACTGCAGAAGCCAATGCTGGGGAGAGTGAGTCATCCTTTCAGGGACACATGTGTCCCCACCAGCCTTGCTATTCCAAGTGTGCTCCACAGGCCAATAGGATCAACCTCTCCTGAAAGCCTGTTAGATAGAGGCCCAATTCTCACCTGCCAAGTCAGAATCTGTAGTATAGCAGGATCTGGAGACTTCCCCTGTCCACAGGAGAGCAGAAGAAGTGGTTCTACCTTCACATCAAGGGATCTCATTTCGAATGAGCATCTCATTAGCTGGACAGCTGCTGAAACTGCATTTTTAAAGTGTCACCTGGCATAGCCATGTTTACAATGTCTCACACATGATTCAATGCACAGCAGGTGTGATATTCCTGTGACAGGCATTTCACAGGGATATCACAGCTAGCTCAGGAATACCTGCCCTAAAGGGAACAGTCAAATGTGAAAAGGACAGGCTGTGGGATAGACTACTGAGCTCCTGAGAGGAAGCTGTGGGGGAAACCTGAAATCCAGACACCCCAGGCTTATGCTTTTTCAACACATCATGTGAGTGTGGCCTAGTGTATATGTGTGTGTGTGCATGTGAGTGTGGAGTTCAGAGACTTCTGAAGTTTCCAGGAACCAAAATATCAAAGGACACTAAACTGGTAAGAAGAGACAGGGTGGCATAAATGAGATCAAGGAGTGGGAGGATCCTGGGCACAGACCCTGCCCCCAGTACATGAATAGTAATCTTGCCCCAGAATAAAGCTCAGCACACACATAGGACATACAGCAGATTGCACCATTCCAGACAGAGGTGCCTGTGAGCCTCACAGAACCTCAAGCTTCTCTCAAAGAGGGAGACACAGAGCAGACAGCAGACACCATGGGATCCCTGTCAGTCTCTACCCACAGAGGACTTGTCCACTGGCAAGGGCTCCTGCTGGTTGGTAAGTAGGAGACAATTCCTTGGGCTAGACTAAGGATCTGACACACAGACTTGGCTGGGGCCTGCTGAAGAGACCAGTGCTCTGAGAAAAGAGGGAAGGCTTCTGTTTGGACCTGAGGGTAGAGGAAAAGGAAAAGAGTAGGGTGGGGAAGGGGGCTCAGCAAGAAGAAATTCTAGTAATCTGAAAGTGGTGAGAGGCAGGAAAATCTCAATTGCTATGCATTTCCAAAGTTATTCATCATTGAGTATTGAATTTATGAAGACATTATAATAACAATTTATGTCAGGTAACACCAGAAAAAAACTGAACCAGGGGTGCTAGTCATTTTCTTTACTAGCACCCTTGACTGTGGCAGACACACTCACACTCAGAGCTAGGCTGAGAGTTGAAGAGACCTGCTCAGGCTCCAGGGCCTCGCCTTGCCCTCCCTACACATAGATCTGAATATTAATCAACTTCTCTCTTCTTCCCTAGTCTCGCTGTTTACCTTCTGGTGCCTGCCCATGAACGCCCAGTTCTCTATTGCATCAACCAATGTTGCTGAAGGGAAGAATGTGCGTCTGAGTCTCCGCAATACACCTCAAAATGCTTTAGGCTACAGGTGGTTCAGAGGAGAAAGGGAAATACCTCATAATCTAATCGCAGGTTATTTCATATTGGAGAGAAAATTTGTAAAAGGGCGTTTATATGATGGACGAAAGACAGTAGACCTCGATGGATCCTTGCTGATAAGGAAGGTCACCAGGAAAGACAGAGGAATGTACACCGTAGTGGCCCACCTTCCAAATTCAGTACAACAAGTGGGATTGGGACGGCTCAATGTATTCCGTGAGTGATTACTCTCTGACACCTGGGTGTTAGGTGGGGTGACCTCTACTTCACACGCAGGACTGACAGCCCTGAACTCTGCCTTTGTTTCCCTCTGCATTCTGTCTCAGGTTGGGCTTTTGCAATTAGTACAGGATACAGAGAGTGGGGACAAACTTCCTAAGATATCAGTTCCCTTCCCAGTTTCCAGCCCTGCAGACAGAAGGACCAGTCTGACAAGAGTAACTCAACAGAGGGAGACTAGTCTCAGGGTAGCCCCTATGTCCTTGACACTGAGAATGACCCTGACAGCTTCTGTCAAAACCTGGTTTCAGAAGCCCCCTGAAATTTTCACAGAGGTTGCCTCGAAAGCCCCTCCCAAGAATCCTGTCCCAGGGATCTTGACTCCGGGGACCTTGGGGAGCCTGTGTCACATTGAATTTGATCTCCCAGGAAAGGCTAACTGGGTGGTGATTTAATGGGTACCCAAGCCACAAGGCTTCTGAGCTGGTCACCAGTCAGGGCTCAGGCCCAAGGGCCACACCTTGGCAGAAATGGAGTTCAGTCTATCACCTGAGACTATGTGTAAGAGCACAGTTAGACAATGTTGTTAGATGTTAGCTAACTGTCATGGGGTACTTAGAACAAGTTCATGTACAGGAAAAGGTCAGCATCCCCAGAAAGAAACTGAGAAAAGAAGATGCTCCTGGAAGGTCCTCATTCACCAGGGATCAGCCCAGGGGATTCTCTGTTACAGTCGATCCATAAGCGATGCCTCTCATTTCAGCAGCGCTTCTTTCCCAAGATTTAGGCCAGGGACTGTAAATATTTTATGATTAATACATTGACAACCTGGCAGCCAAATATTTACCCTCCTTCATGGAGAATAAACTGAGAAACAGGGACATACAGTCACTAAAGCAGAGTCACACAGACCATGAGCATTTGATCAGGGTCATTTGAGATCTATCTGCAGCCACAGCCTTGTCTTCTCCTCCAACCCAGGGGCCTATGAGGTGCCTGTGAATTTTTAAATCAACTGTTGGTTCAGATCATTTATTTGTTTCCTGAGGTGTTACTGTCACTCCCACTGGAGTATGAAGGAAAAACCTTTGCCTTCTCAATCCACTCTACCCCTAAAACCAGCTCAAGGACCAACGTGTAACAAATATGCAGTTGCCTTTGATTAATTAGGAAAAAATAAATGGTGATTTAATGAATGAATGAATGAATGATCCAAAATCTCTTCAGAGCTTGGAATCTGGATGCAGAGTCCTTGGATTTCTGGCCATAGGGCACAAGCTCTCTGTCCCTACAGGGACTAAGACCCTTGTCTCAGACCCTTTTCTGCTCTCCAATGAAATAGTCTTCTTTGCAATTGGTCTTAGGCCTTGGGGTATTAATAATAATAAATTTCACATGAGGAAGAATCGAGGTTCTCCAAATTTCTATCTTGTAGCTACCTAATACAAATGGCCCACAAGGGTGAACTTTGCATAGCTCGCTGTGAGTGGCTGAGATCTCTGAGGAAGTCATGTGGCTCCATGTCTCAGCCCACCCTCAGTCCCATTCTCTGTTTCTCCACAGAGCCTGTGAAAGTGCCCATCCTCCTAACCAGCAACGGCACGATCACAGAGAATGAGGATGCCGTGGTCTTGACCTGCTACACAAATGCGGTTTCCATTGAGTGGTTCTTCAACAGCATGAATCTGCGGCTCTCGGAGAGAAAGAAGCTGTCCGAGGACCGCAAAAGTCTCACCATAGACCCCATACAGAAGGAGGATTCTGGTTATTACCAGTGTAAAGTCTCCAACCCCATCAGTTCTGCTGAAAGTTGGCCCCTTGAGCTGCATATGCAACATGACTGACCCTCCTCCCCTCCTCTCTGTTATTAAATTCTAAATAAAGTTTTTTGCATTATTATAATAGATTTGTTCTGAAGGTGAATATTTCTTAAAAGATTTGCACTGAGTCAATAAATACATAACAATGTGAGATGACGTTGTCATTATTGCTGACCTAAGGTCACATTTTACACCACACACCACCTCAGTTTGGTCTCAGTTGTACCATCTCCACGTTGGAGGTAACATTGTGTCCCTTGGAGGATCAGCAGTGGTCGTGCGATAACCAGTGGGAGCAGATGATGAGCTCACAGGATCTGAGCTCTGTCCCTTCTGCAGGCAAACATGTGGAGGCCCTTGGACACTGTTGTAGATAATGGGGATGGACAAGAGGACAGTGTGTATGTAGAAACACTGATCTTTTCTTTTTTTTTTTTTTGGTGTCTTTTGAAAGATTTCTAAAACCTCTTGAGTATTCTTATTTATAAGGCAATAAAATTACTTGCATAAGTTCAATACATCTCTGATTTTTTGCTGATATGATATAATTAGAAACTTTATAATAAAAACAAGGCTTTAGCTCAAATATTCTACTTCAAACTGATGTCCACATAATTAGAAATGACCTCACACTTTATAGAGCTAAGTTAGACCTGATGGATCTTTTGGTATTTCTTGAAGAAAAGGACATCACCCAAAGCTAAGTGAAGTGTGAGTGTGAAGCTTCCTAACCTCAAGAGGCTATTAAAACTCCCATCTTATGTTTTATTTAAAAATCCTGCATCAGAACAAACGAGGTGGTGAATATCAGTTCCTCTGCGCTTAGATGCGTAATCAGGCCAAATCAAGTAACTCCAGCCATGTGGTAGGATCAAGAATACACTTCTTTCTTAGGGATGATGTTTAATCAAAGGGAAGGTGTATGTAGAGAAAAATATAATGTCTCCAAGGAAAGCTCCAGAAGCGCAGCCTCCTGGGAGATCAGATCCTGACTCTGCTCAAGGACCCTCAGCTATTTTGCACCTGTTTATAAAGAGCTGGGAACTTGTACATTTTTATGAATTGCAATAACTGATAGAAGTTCGAACTGGGTTTTGGCTGGAAGAGATTTGGCTGTGGTTCCCTCCACTGTGCATAAAGAAGTTTTGTAATGAACCAGAGGCCTTCCTGTTCCTCAGAGTCACTGACCTTCAGACAGGTTCTCCCTGGTTGCAGGCCTCTGACCTCCATTTTATCAGAGCATTTTCTTCAGAAATGTAATTGCAATTTGTAACTCTAGATTCTTTTTAGCCTTTTAGAAATACACAGAAGTGTCCTTAAAATCTTTCATCAGTGTTATGATTCTGGGAGTATCTGCCACAAGGGCCTGGACCCACCCCATAAAATTCAGTGCTCCTGGTGTTTCTGTGTCTCAGTCTCCATGGCAGGTAGAAACCTAACTTGGGTGAGAACCTTTACAACCATGATGTAAAAAGACATCCTGTGAAGAATTTATGCAAAATTGTATTTTCTTTTTCTGTACCACCAATTAGCAAACAGACATGCCTATGATTCCTTCTCCTATTCTTAAAACCTCCACAGCTTTTCCTTTCAGGGGCACTGAGTTCTGGCTCACTACACTATTGCACGGCCTTTAATAAAGTCTTTCTCGCCTCTTTATATCTGTGTGATGCACACTTCACTCTGACATCACCTACGTATAATTAGCTGATCCTGTCATCTTGCTCACAGTGTCCATCCTTACCATATTTTCAAACCTTCAACAATTTTAAAATCTGGCTGAAATTTTCCAAGCAAATGTTTTCAGTTGTCCTGCCTCCGTTCTGGATTGGCATCCATAGTAAAAGATGGTCTGACTGCCCAGATTTTTCTGGGGACCAGGTTGCTTCAAAGTGGCCTTTGTCTTAGAATCTGATAGAAAGGGCAGATGTGGAACTCTGCACCTCTGCAGTGGCCTACTCATCAACAGTGTTCTCATTGTACATACAATTTTACTCACCTTCAAGGAAAAGATTACAGAGGTTTGAAAAAAAATTCTGTCATGAAACTCAGAAACTCTAGTAAACAAGCAGGTCCCTGTCACATCAGCCCTCCACAGGCCTTACTGGAGGACCCTGTTTTGTGCCATCTGTGACCAGGAGCTCTGGTCAAATATCATTGTCCTCATTTTTTTAATTTATCTATTGGGTTGACAAAATCACTTGCCTATCTTTAGGCCATCCGCAATCAGAACTTGAAAAATGGGAATGAAGTAGCTCTTCTGATTCTGGTTTTGTTTTGTTTTTTCATGCTCCTTGTGGCTTTTTAGGCATCATGGTATGTTGAGGTGTGCATACAGGGGGAGCAAAGAGGGATGGGGTCTGCTCAGAGTCAAGGTGAGAAATTACAAAGCTTGTGAGTTTGGGGGTGTTCAGCACTGTATGAATCAAAGGCACCTAAGGAGGCCACGCAGGATAGATTTTCTAAGGAAGCTCAGGATGGGGCTGAGGCATATGAGTAAGAGGTTAATCTAAGTGATGAGGAAGGAACCACTCAGGTGGTGCAGTTAAGAAAGGGGAGCCATTCTCTTAGTTTGGGTTGGCATGTGGGGAGAGACACAGGGTTGGCAAAAAGGATGCAGTCTTGAAAACTCAAATTAGAGTTTTAAGACTGGGGAAAAGAGGAAAAACCAGATGTACCAGGCAGCAGAAGTTACAAAGAGAGGATATGAGATAAGAAACAAGATGAACATCCCATAGGGAGCAAGGAGTCTGAAGAGCGATGAGGGTTTGTGAGACTGGGGACACCATGAACACAGAAAATAGGCTGAGAAGTATGAGATTTAGACAGGGAGGGAGTTGGAGTGAGCGGTAGTCAGACTAGCAAAGGGGTTGGGATGGAGCCTGGGAAAGTGAGGAATGCAGGGCAGGCTTGGGGGTGAGGACTAGATTGAAGGCCACAGTTTTCCAGTCATTAGCTCTGACCCAGTAGCAACATGTGCATCAGGCTTTCAGAGTGTGGTCTGAAGGCCGCAGTTTCCACATGACCTAGGAGATCTGTGAAAAGCTAAATCTTACCCCCATCCCCTAAGACGTGCTTCAGCTGAGCCAACAGGTTAGCCATGCCCCAGGGGATCTGTGTGTCAGTGAGTAAGGCAGCCTGGGGAGAGGGAAAAAGTGTCTGATGGTGTGAGGAGTGAATGGGGAGTCAAGGGCTGGAAAACTGGGAGTAAATGGAACCTTTCCCTTCTTTGTTGACTAGCCACAGTGAACTTTCTGTGATTCCATGGTGAATGCTATGTGACAGGTCACAGTTTTGGACCAGTAGGTTCCCGTGGTCTGGGCCACCTGTCCTTGTCTCATCCAGGAAGTATCACTTCCATCTGTGATGGATGCTGCTCTCCCCACCTGTCATGTGTTGGTGGGTGTGATAGAACCCAGGTCATGATGAGGAAGTCTGGCTCCCTTGTCACTTCACAGCTCACGTTCAGACCCTCTGTCTCTCCTGAGGATTAGACTCTGTTCAGAGGCTCTTATATTATTGCTGTAGAAGGCATGGCCTCACCCCAAAGCTTAGGAGTCTGCATGTAATTGTCTGATTAGTTCCCACAAGAGCCTACACAATGCAGCTTTTATTTTTCTAACATGGATTAGATGGAGATACAAATGCAGCAATTTCTCTTTTACTCTGAAGGGTATGTCCAGCATGTCCCAGAGTACTGGAGACATAAAAGCCTCATAGATGCAGCAGATCCCTGAATGGTCACAGATGTGGATATTCCCACTTTGCTTAACCTGCTGATCACTAGAGCTGATCCTGTCACTGGTGTCACTGTCCTCACTGATGCAGTTGTCTCAGAGCATCCACAGGAGCAGGCACCCACTTCCAACCTTCAGAACACATGTGTCTTTCTAAGGCATTTTTAAAACTTTACATTTTGTTCATTTTTAGCGAGAAAGCCTCTAGTTCAAACCATTAAAGGTGACACCAGTAAGAAGTCTGTAGGCTTTTTATGACTTGCAGTTGGTGTAGAGTTGACTTGGAGGATAAACGACTCCATTTGCCCTGCTAAGAAGGGCAGGCTTCATGGACTCACAATTGGTGCAGGCACGTAGAAGGGCCTGTGTTAAGTTTAATACTCTCTTTTTGCCATCCTGAAATTTTTAATGACTTTTCAACAAGGAACCCTGCATTTTACTTTGACACCGACTTTTTCTGGTTTGGCCCCTAGGAATGACCCTGGGTTGGAAAAAATAGTTTGACCCTATTGGGAGGTGCAATTTTTAATACAACTACCAGAGGGAGGCATCAATGGAATGTAACCAGGAGAAAAAGTAAAGGGATTGGAGGAGTTTGGGCTTTTTCTACTCTGTCATGACAAGTGTCTAATGAATGGAACTACTTCACCCTCACCTCTACAGCTCACAAAGGGAAGGTCCTGTATCTCTGTTGTACTTCAGAGATTCAAATTTAAACAAATCTCTGTTATTTGGCTCAAATGTGAATAGCATTAAACAGACACAATGAAGTCTATATGAAATATTGGTCTTTAAGAAATAGTGGGAAGATGGGATGGGAAGAGTGTGAATGTGTGTGTTTGCATTGGTGATCAGAAAAAAAGCAGTTGAGTCCTCATCTTCCAGAAGGAAGACCTTGTTTTGTAATGCACAACAGTACAAAATTAGTAAGTAGCCTCAAAGAATGGAATGCAGAGACTTGGTTTCCATACCAGGGAGCTGTCACTGTGTGTGTAGATGTGTTAAGTGTGGCCCAGACAGAGAAGCCAGGATCTTCTTGTGTTCACTCTGAGTAGAACACACGGAGAGACAGAAAAATTATCACAGCAACATCCAGTGTTGTCACAACCACAAGAAGGGCATTTCACAGGGGGGAACTGGGAACTGGCTTTGCTCACAGTGTGGACATCAAACACAAAATAATACATTTTATGTTTCAAATGAAGTGGGAGTCAAATGACAAGTCAGCTTAAGGTTGTAGGTGTTCACATCAAAAAATATCTCCTCTCTGGGCCTTACACACCGAGTAAGATTTGTCTGAGTAAAGCCAAACTTCTTGGCTGTTGGTCCAAATGACATGATTGGCATTGACATATTATCTGTGTTTGTTTGTTTGTTTGTTTGTTTGTTTAATATTATGAGAATAGAATTTTTAAAAATGATAAACCTCTGTTTATGAACCAGCCCGTAAATGGTCTGCCTTCATTTTATAGAAAAGTAGTACTTATTTAAATTAATTTTATGTATCCAGAAGCAGACTCAAGTTGCAATTCCAGAAAGATCATGAAGGGCAGGCATGGAGAATGGCCTTGCTGAAGAAGCTGCTGCTACTTCCTGAATAAAACACTGGAAAATGGACACGCTGCACTGGTCTCAGGCCACAGCCCCTCTGCAGCCTCTGTAGCAACCGAGGCCCTGTAGTACTGCCCTGAGTGCTGGACTAGGCACAACCCACATCTCATAAAAATGCTTCTGTCTTTCAGAACTCACACATTGAAATTATTGTCAGAGACTTTGAGAGGTGCTGTGCTCACCTTCTCTGTCTTTTGTGTGTTTTCCAAAGGGTTTGGAAGAGAATGAGTTAAGACATTTGGGGTACCTCTCCTAGATATCATTGGGGCACCTGTAATGTGACATGTGCACAAGCATAATTTTGTTCATTTCACCTGTCAACCTGATCCTCGGAGAGTCTTCCCCTTCTCAGTCAAGGTCAACTTCATATTTCCAGGTGCTCAAGTTGAAAACATTGGCATTATCCTTGATGCCTATCTAGCTCTCACAGTAATCTAATCCATCGGCACACCTGGAGTTGATATACTGTGTATAGATAGAAACCGAATGCTTAGGTCCAAACCACTGATGTTGATACATAGGGTTAATGTAATCACTTCCTACAGGTCTTCCTGCTGCCTCTTTGACTCACCTGATATCAATCTCTCCCAGAAAATGAATTTTTAAAAACCCAATCAAAAACCCTACTTAAAAATTCCTTGTCACTCACCTCTCAAAAATCACACCAAAATCCAAAGTCTTCACCATAGTTAACAAGTTTTCACACGTCTCCAGGGATTCACCAAATTTCATTGGTTCTGAACAGCCTGGCTTTTAACTGCACCAGCAGAGGCAACACGCTGCAGTTCAGAGAACACACACTCTGTGTTCCAGCAGATGTGCTCAAATTCCGTCATCGATGCTGCACTCTGGGAAATCAGACCAGCAAGAAAAGCTGCCTGATCCTTTTAAACTAACCTGTTGCTCAGGGTTCTGTAACTGAGGGGGCCTCTGTGCAAAAGAGTCAGCCTGACACTTGGTACTAAACAGGTGTTGAGCTAAGATTGTTTTTTCTTTATTCCCTTAAGCTGAATATTTCTTTTACTAATATTGTTTTCAATTACATTTGGCATCCAATATTATATCAGTTTTAGATGTATGGTGTGGTGGTGAGACATTTCTAAAACTTATGAAGGGATCACCCCAATAACTCTAGAACCCACCTGTCCCCATACACAGTGATTACAAAACTAGTGACTATATGTCCTTTGCTATGCTTTGCATCCCTGTGACTATTTTGCTGTCCAGTAGTTTCTCTTCTTAACTCCTACAGCCATCAATGTCCCTGTCACCAGTGGCTACTGCATAAAATTCAGATGTCCTGCCTCAGAATGCAGAGCACACTCCCCAGGGTACCCCAAGTGAATTTAAGCATGCCGCCCACCAGCCACAATAATCATCCCCTGCCCCACTCCTAGAAGCCCTTTGCTATGCCCATCTCCCCAACCCCAAGAACCACACCTAATGCCAGGTTCCAGCTCATGCTGCTCCCATAACCAGGAATGTTCTGATTTCCTCTGTAGGATTCAGATCCTTAATGTTTGCCGGGCTGAAGCTCATTTATCATATCTGGTTTACTACATGCCAGGGAGTCAAACTCAAATAATAGTCTCTGCCTGCCAGGAATTTAGGATCTAGTACACACACACACACACACACACACACACACACACACACACACACACACACTTTAAATAAATACCTTGGAGAGCTGTGGACTTTATATAAACAGACTGGAACACAGTCAGTTTTGAGTCTCCACTGCCCTCCTCACCTGCTGGGGACCCTTTGTCAAGTTAACCCCTCATCCAAAACATGGAAGTAGTAGTAGTATAAATTCATAGGATGGGTGTAAACACTAAATAAGGTGATATACGTAAAAGGCTTAGCACAGCGTCTAGAATGTAAATAAAAGGTGAGTTCTCAAAAAACAAGCATAAAATATGAGACATGAAAAAGTTTAATTTTGTGTGTGTCATTCTTTAAATATAAAAACATACCATTTGTGTCTGGGGAGAAGGCAACATGTCCCCAAGTATTCAGAAATCTGCTCCTTCTTCACACTTGGTGAGGAAGCCTAGTGGTGGGGCTGCCTGCAGCTGACCTGCCTAGAATCAGGACTGAGAACCAGCTTCCTGCCCCCCTGCACCCCTGCTCCTTGTGCCTCCCTCATCCCAAGCCACACTTGTTCACGTGACCCACACAAGGCTGCTGAGCTTAGCGTGGCTTTTCTGGGTGGTGGCCTCACTGTCTCTCTGAGCTGAAAAGGGGGATGGGGGAACCAGGTTGTTATGAAAATCTTACTAAATGTTTTACCTGACTTGTTATGAAAGAACTCATCACACAAGAAAAGAGACAATTATCTCATTTTAGAAATTAGCTCCACTCAGTACTATCCCCACACCAAGGACCTGACAATGGATCAGATCAGGCTAAAGGCAGCACAACAGCTGTGGTGGCTCCACAGACTGGCCTCTGCGGCTACATTTCCATCATGGGGGAATGCTCCTGTAAAGACATAAAACACCAAACCGACCTTTCCCAAACTGCCCTTGATAATCATCTGAGTCCTTAATAATTATAGACTTTACAACCAAGAATCATAACATTTTTTATGACTATCTGTAACAAAACAGCAAAAGGAAGCAATGATTGAAGAAATTTAAAATAATAAATAAATGAAAGCATTTAGAATGTATTTTTAAAAGGAAACCCAGGTGACTAGTGTACACACTTTGTTCAGACATTGAGTGCAGGCATGATGTGGGCAAGTGGGTGATAAACCAATGGGCCCAAGGCTGGGGAAAACTGTATTTACTTTTACAAAGTCAGATTGCTGGACAATTGCTGGATAAACTCTCATGAAAAGATGCAGTCAGAACAAGAAAGAGTTCCCAGAAATTATAATTGCTCACACAATAATATGTGTAATTGCTGAATAACTGGAAAGTCATTGCTGAAAGACTGACTGAATGATCTGGAAGATGCAACCGAGGAAACCAGCCCCAGCATGAGGGGAAAGTCAGAGCTGGGAAGTGAGAGAGAAGTGGGGTTGGACAGGTGCAGGTTTGTCTGAGCTCCGCAGGTGCCAGCTCTGGTCTGCCCGTCACTCCTCTGAACTCACCCAGTCTCAGCCAGCCCTGCAAGGAAGTGTGTATGTGTATGTGTGTGGCTTTTCTCCCTGTTATTAGTAGATCTATAAGCTTATTGCCCCCCAAATTTGGGTGGAATTTTAACAAATAATTTTATAAAATTTACTGAGATCAATATTTTTCTACTTTAGTCTGTTGATAGGAAGAATCATATGCTGAAATGAAAACATACCTGCATGACTGATGTAAACTACTCCCACTCTGTTGAAAGGGGTTTTTTTTTATCATAAATGGGTTCTAAATTTTATCAAATGCTTTTCCTGCATTTATTGATGTGATCATTTAATTTTCATTGTTCATTTTCCTTATGTGCTATATCACATTTATTTGCAAATATTGTACCAACTTTGCAGCCTCAGAATAAATCCCACTAAGTCATGGTGTATGATTTTCTTAATGTATTGCTGAATTTAGATTTTTAGTATTTTGTTGAGGAATTTATCATCTATATTCATCAGACATATTGATGTATAATTTTCTTTCTTTGTAGTGTCTTTATCTCATTTTAGAATTGGGATAATGCTTGCTTCATAAAATGAGCTTGGAAGTTTTCCCTTCTGTTAAATTTTTTGGAATAGATTGGGAATAGGTGTTATGTTTCTAGAAAAAATTCCACTTCTTCCAAGTTGTCCAATTTGTTGGCATGTTCTTTTCATTATATTTTCTTATGATTATTTACATTTTTGTGGTATCAGTTTTTACTTCTCCTTTTTTATTTCTGATTTTATTTATTTGGGCCTTCTCTCTTTTGCTCTTGATGATTCTGGTTAATGGTTCATCAATCTTATTTATCTTCTTAAAGAACAAACTCTCACCCTGGCTGGTGTGGCTCAGTGAATTGACCACTGGACTGCAAAGTAAAGGGTCATTAGATTGATTCCCATTCAGGGCACATTCCTGAGTTGCAGGCCTGGTTCCTGGTAGCAGGTACATGAGAGGCAACCAAACATTGATATTTCTCTCCTTCTCTTTCTCCCATCCTTCTCCCTCTCTAAAAATAAATAAATAAAATCTTTTTAAAAAAAGAAACAGTCTTGGTTTCATTGTTCTTTTATATTGTTTTCTTAGACTATTTTATTTCTACTCTGATCTTCATTATTTCCTTCCTTCTATGTGCTTTGCACATTGTTGACTTTTTCCAGTTTATTTAGGTGTAAATTTAGATTGTTTGTTAGAGTTTCTTTTTGTTTTTTGAAGTAAGCCTGTAATGTTATACTTCCCTCTTAGGACTGCTTTTGTTTTATCCCATAGATTTTGGTTTGTTGTGTTCTCATTTCCATTTGTTCCAATGTAGCTTTTGATTTTCTTAATCTCATTTTTATTCCATTTATTGTTTAGTTACGTGACATTTAGCCTCCATAATCTTGAGTGTTTTTTCATTTTTTTATTGTGGTTGACTTCTACTTTCATACTATTGATATCAGAGGAGATTTTTTTTAAAAGATTTTATTTATTTATTTTTAGAGAGAAGAGAAGAGAGGGAGAAAGAGAGAAAGAGTAACATCAATGTGTGGTTGCCTCTCACATGCCCCCACCTGGGCACCTGGCCCACAACCCAGGCATGTGCCCTCACTGGGAATCAAACCAGTGACCCTTTGGTTCATAGGCTGGTGCTCAATCCACTGATCCATACCAGCCAGGGTAAAATAATTAAATCTTTATAAGATAGAGTGTGTCTGTTGCTTCAGTTCAAGAAATAACTTCAGGCCTTAAGGCTTGGCTTCTTACAAAGTCAGATCTGACCAGAGCAAGTTCTACACTCGTAGAAAGTCAGAACTCCTCCTGCTGAGGAGCCTGTGCACTGGTGCCCAGCCCCATTTTCGCTCCAGTGTCACCACCCTGGAACCAGAGTTTTGGAAGGATGTCTGACGACACAAATGACCAAAAGGATAGGAAGCAATTAGACCCATATTCAGAGCTGGAATAATGAGAAGCTACAACTGTGAAAATAATGTCTCTTTCAAGTATACAAAGTACAGCAAGGTAGATTTAGAGAGCTTTTTAAAACATGGACACAAGAGAGTTTGCAGTTCTTCGAATGCTGTTGTGGAGACAATCATTGTCTCCTGACAATACTCTTATTTTACCCCTGGGAACCGTGACTGTTGTATTCTGCAGAAGACACTTGACACATGTGATTAAGTTATAGGTGGTGAGATGGAAAGATTATTCTGGATCTTCTGTAGCATTTCTCATGTAATTTCTTGTGTTCCTATCAATCAGAGAAAGAGTCAGAGAAAGACTAAATGACTGAAGTAAAAGAGCAGATGTGATCATGGAAGCAGAGGAGGGAAGATGCATGTGATAGGGAAATATTAGCCAAGAATGAAAACAGCCTACAGTGTCTGGAAAAGGCAAAAGCAGTTGTCCCCAGAGTCTGAGGAGAGAGCAGGCTGCTGCAGACACACACCATCATTCCACCACCGTGATGCCCAATTCAAACTTCTGGTTTCAGGACAGTTAGAAAACATGTAAACAGGCTGACTGTGTTATCCACTCAGATGCACTCTGCAGACACACAGGGGATCATGTGCTCATTCTTTCATCCCTTGTCTGAAATTTCTTCCACAGCCCTCACAGGGTGGTGAATCAGGGCAAAGGGTATCATTAAGGCCTCTTCACTAACATGGGTGGGAACACTGAGCAAATTTCACGTGCGGTAAATGACAAACCCCAACCACTAACTTGGTTTCAATTTCACACTCATTTTCTCCTCACATGTAAGGGAGCAGACACACACATCCTTCAGAGATATTCTGTAAGAGAACTTTGATGGTGTGTGGAGTGTGAGGACTCCTTACAAAGGCAGCCCCTTGAAGGCCCCAGCTCTTGGTCAAGTGTACCCAGTGCCTTCAGGGCCCTGTGATCAGTCAGAGACCTTTTCATGCACCCACAACACAGGACACATCCTTGCCTTTTGTTTTGATTTACAAACTCTGTGTTCCCGTTTCAAAGAAAGTCCACAAACAGGATACATGGTATTGGAAAACAGACACTATTTTCTTGGTTATTCAGGCTCTGTTGGCTCTGCTTGGCTTCTGACCACAGATCAAAATCCTAGACAGACCTGCAGGTTAGATGGCCTCTAGAAGACAGGGGACCACCAGGGGGAGACAAGAAGGGGTAAAATCCTGGGCAGGTAGAGAAGGAAAATTGTAATGATTAGAGAAGCAGGGCAAAGAGGAATGGTGTGTATTGTTGTCTCAGTTTAGGAGGAAGAGAATAAAGAAGGAATAGGGAGTAGTGCAGGTTTTCAGGAAGAGACTGAGGAGCCCATATTGTGGGAGCCCATATTCAGGTTGAGGGGATGACCCACCAAGGAGAGAGTCACTGGAGCTGGATACGGGTGTGGGGAAGAAGAAAGAGCAGTTCTTCCAAACAGGGGTATTGCCTTGAGAGGCAAGATACCTCTTTTGGAAAAAAGTATAAGATACTTGAAGACTTGGATGACTGTCTTTTATATTGAAACCAAACACTTGATTTGGGCATTCCATGGAGGTGTGTGTACACTTTTATACATGGGGAGAAAATAACCAGAAAAAAAGGATTAAAAATATCAGAGAGAAGGATGGTAGAGGGGATAGGTGTATATGTAGGGATAGGAAGGAAGAGAGAATGGAGTCTTAAACAGAGGTACCAGGAAACCATGCTCCTATTTATTTCCAAGAGCACAGCTGCCCACATGGTAGGGTTTCATGGCCCCAGGGATATAGGAAATGAGGCACTGGGAAAGGAATTAGAAGGAGACTGAGAATGAGAAAAAGACTGGCAACCACTGAAGGACCAAAATTCTAGAAAGCCAAGAGGGGTGGGATGGCATGAAACCACACAGTCTGCCTAATGCCTGATGAGGAAAGAGAGTGGGGATTGATACCAGAGAGGCAAGAGTTAGAGGCATATCAAAGAGGGTGAAAGGTAGGGAGGCAGGCAAGCTGCTGTGGCAGGAGAAGCAGGCCAGATGGAGTCCAGGGATGGCAGTTTTCAGAGTGAATGCTGAGGTTTTCAACATCTGGCTCAGGCCACGGTGAGGCTGTGTCTGTGCCTCTCGGGTCACACAGATTCACCTTCACCTGTAAGCACACTAGAAATGCAAAATGTATCCCAGTACCTCAAGTCTCCTTATGCTAAGGCTGCAGTTGACAGTGCCTACAAAAGGCATATCGAGTGAAGGCTGAGAAGCAGTCCAGTGGTGAGTGTTGGGGTGCCTTTTCAGATGGGACAGAGGCAGCGTGTTATTGGAGCTTGCTTGGTCATTAAATTTTTTAATAAAAATTCTGTAAAATATATAGGTGACTGGAAGTCTTCAGTCCACAAACACAAATGTCTTTACACTTATTGTTGTATCTAGTTTCAGAAACATTTGGTAATTTTCAGACCATACACCTTCCAGGTGCTTGGTGAATTTTTTCCTGTTGTATTCTTTCTGATGCTGTTGTAAATGAAACTTTTCTTAATTCCATTTTTTGATTTGTTCCTTGCTTTTCTAAGGAAATTGAAATGATGCTGGCTGTTGATTTTATCTTTTGTGATTTAACAGAAGTTATTAATTCTAACAGTTTTTTGCATGGAGGGTGGAACCTTTTTTGCAGGGAGGGTGGAACCTTTAGAAATTTCTACATAGAAAATTAAGTTGTTGCACTGCTCAGAGTGGCTCAGTGTGTTGGATATTGTTCTGTGGAACAAAAAGCTCACCTGCTGGATTCCCAGTCTGGTCATGGGCCAGGTTTGCAGGTTCAGGCCCATTCCAGGCATGGAGGAGAGGCATCCAATGGATGTTTTGCATTCACATCTGCGTTTTTCTCCTTGTCTTTTTTTCTCCCTTACCTTCTCTCAAAAAAGAAATAAATAAAACCTGTAAAAAAGTTAAATTGTCCGTTAAAGAGATCATTTTTCTTTTTTTTCAATTTGGATACCACTTAATTTATCTTCTTGCCTATTTTTCTGCCCAGAACTTCCAGTAATGTTATTTACATGGGTAAAAAGGGGGATCTTCACCTTTTTCATAATGTCACTAACATTTTGGTATTTCTTTATGGAGTATTATGTTAACCATGGGTTTTCATGTGTGGCCTTTACCATGTGGAGTAGTTTTCTTCTGTTCCTAAAGTCCTTGTCTTTGTTAGAACCATAACTACTTCTCTCTAGAGATTTATTTCACCGTGTTATTCAATTTGCAGACCAGGAAATAAAGTCCTGTTCAAACTGAAAATTTCTTTAGATAAATTTTTTTCAAATGCAAGATCATGAAGAATAGGTTGGGCCATCTTTATTGCCCAATTAATTACTTAACAAAAGTTAAATGTCTTACCAATTACTGCCCCAGAAATGAACAGAGGATATAAGTGTGCCTTCCCCAAATACACAAACATTTACATGAGGAATGAGACCTGATAGTTTTTTAAGTCAAAATATCTCCTTATTCCATTTCTTTATTTTATTAAACCCTGAATAATTTTTTTGCATTTTTTAATAGACTTGGTGTGAAGGTAGACAACTGTTAGAAGACTTGCACTGAGTCAAGAAATGCTCAAAGATGAGAGCTGACCTTATCACTTTTGTTGATTTAAGGTCACATTTTACACCAGACCCCACCTTTGGTTGGTCTCAGATGCACCATCTTTACAGTGCAGGAGTCACTGAGTCCCTCAGAGGAGGGGCAGTTGCCATGTGATGACCTGTGGGAGCACATGATGAGCCTGAAGAAATCCAAGCTCTGTCCTTTTCCAAAGGTCATGTACAGGGCACCTGGACACTGTTGTGGACAACAAGAATAAACTAAAAGACACAGGCTAGTAACACTGACCTTTTTCTCTTTTATTTCTCCCCATAAATTCTAAAGTCTTCTAGAGTATTCTCATTTTCATGGCATTACACTTATTTGCATAAGTTCAGCATAACTCGGACCCTTTTCATAACAGAAAATAATTGGAAGCATTGGCGATACAAACAAGGCTTTGGTTCACATGTCCTAGTTCAGACTGATGCCCACAGAATTAGAAACATCCTCACCTTTTATGAAGCTAAGTTTGACCTGATGGGTATTTTGGTATCTAAAGAAGAGGGCACCACTCAAAGTAGAGAGACTGCAGTGAAGTGTGAGGGTGTAGCTTCCTAATTTCAAAAATCTGTGAAGCCTCCCATCTTTTGTTTTATAAAATACTTGTACCAGAGCAAACTATACAGTGAATGTCAGTTTTTCTGCACTTCGGTAATTAATCAGGACAAATCAAATTATAGCAGCCATGTAGGCTGCTATAGTAGGATCAAGAATACTCTTATTCACGTGATAACATTTGATCAAAAAATAAAAGTTGCCCTGGCTGGTATGGCTCAGTGGATTGAGAGCTAGCCTGTGAATCAAGGGGTTGCCGGTTCATTTCCCCATCAAGGGCATATGCCTGTGTCGTGGGCCAGGTCCCTCAGGGTGTGCAAGAGGCAATGACACATTGATGTCTCTCTCTCTCTTCTCCCTCCCTTCCTCTTCTCTCTAAAAATAAATAAATAAAATCTTTAAAGAATAAAAAGAATAAAAGTTAACTGTAGAGAGATATAATATATCCGTGGACAATTCCAGAAGCATGACATTCTGGGAGATCAGATCCTGGATCTGTTCAGATGCTCTCAGCAATTTGCACCTGTGTCTACATTGCTAGGAACTGACACCTCTTCACAAATATTAGGATCGGATGTGACGCAGACACACAGACTACAGAAATCCTTCGGAGAAAAAGGGACGGCACAGCCACTCTCTCAAGGGGAGAACACATCAACCCTTGCCTGGACAGGCTTTTATTGCTTTCTAGTCTCATTACATCAAAGAAGGTTCTCATTCATTATCCTTAGATTTACATTAAGTGACTACTTCTTACAGGTAACAAAAAAAAAGTTGCAAATGCAAGGGAATGATAAAGATTGATTTGGTTACATTTTGTCCTTGGGACATCTTAGCACAAACTTTAGGGAGTTGCTTCAGAGATGTACATTAAACATCTGCAGTCTTAGCTCAGGGTGAGGGAGTTTTAGCAAAAGCAAGTCTCATAGCAGCCTAGGCACAATGCAGACCTGATTCCCCACGGGAAACCAATCTGCACACCTGGCTCCTATGTGCCGCCTCACATTGATTGGTTTTCTGGATCAATACTGGGCTACATTTGCCATTGCTATGCTGATCAGTTCTTTATACTGATGGTGATGCAAAGTGGGTTTGGCTGAAAGCTACATAGTTGTGTTCCCCTCCACTGTGAAAAAAGCCATTTTCTTATGACCTAGAGGCTTTAATATTATTTCAGAGTCACTAATCAAATAGGTTGTTTCTGACTATAGTCACTTGACTTTATTTTTTAGGCCATACCTTTAAATGTGTAATTGCAATTTGGTAATTGCAGATACTTCTCTGGCCTTTTGAAATATGCATAAGTATCACTGAAAGCTTCTTGCCAGTGTTACAAGCCAGAGAATATCTGACTCAGAAGCCTGGGCCCATTACACTGAATTCTAATCTTCCTGGTGTTCCTGTTGTTCCAGTGTCTGAGGAAGGGTAGGAGCATAACTTGGTTGAGGACCTTTACAGACAAGATGTAAAAGGATCTCCTGACAATATTTTATGAGAAGTTTTGCTTTTCTTTTTTATAAAGCCAATTAGCAAACACAGATGCCCATGGTTCCTTCTCCTGTTTTTAACATCTCCAAAGTATATTGAATCTGGGGTAATGAGTTCTGTGTCGTGACCCTATTGCATGGTCTTCAATAAAGTCTTCCTTTTATATTTAAACTTCTTTGATGCCTCTTTACTCTGACATCACCTACCTGTAGTTAGCTGATCCTGCCACCTTGCTCTCAGTGTCAATCCTTACCCTGTTTTCAAATCTTCCAGTTTCTTTCCTTCTCTGTTACAATCCTCCAAATAGACTTTTCCAGTTTTTCTCTCTCTCTTCTGAGGTGGTGTTTGCAGCAGGAGGTGACCTGACTGCCCACATCCTTCTGGGACCTCAGGTTGCCTCGAAGCAGCCTTTCTCAGAATCTGAGAACATGTACCAGATTGAAAGGGCACATTTCTGCTGTGACCTAACCATCAGCTGTGTTCTCATTCCACATCCATTGTTACTGTACCTTCAAAAAACAAGATCACAGAGATTTTAAAAGATATTCTGCCATAAACCTCAACTACTGTAGTGAACATGCAGGTCTCTGTTACGTCAGCACCCACAGGTCTGCACAGAAGAGCCCTCTTTCAAGCCCTCTCTGACCTGCAGTTCAGACCAGACATCAGTGTCCTCATTCTTTGCCTTCTTTGATGTTTTCAAGTTCTACATTCTTGTCCTTAGAGAGACAGCAACCAGAATCTGGGAAATGGGAAATAAGTCTCTCCTCTGGTTCAGTTCTTTTCCTGCTTTGGTGGGCTTCTGGTGCATTTGGCTGGCATCCTTGGAGAAATGGTCAGAGGCAGATTGTATGAAAGCAGAGGTGGACATAGAAGGGAGCCATGAAGAGATGGGTTTGCTCAGAGTCAAGATCAAAATTTGAAAAGCCTGAAAGATTTGGGGTGCCAGGCATTACTTGGGCTCAAAGGGACCTAAAGTGCCAGGCAGGCAGGTTTTCTCAGTGGTTCAGAATGAAGCTGAATAATATTAGTGAGGGTCTGATCTACCTGTTGAGGGAGGAGCCACTGGAACTGGTGCAGTGAACTGGGGGTGCCATTCTCCAAGACTAGAGTAAGTGTCAAAGGTAAGACACAAGTTTGGAAATAAGGATAATATTTGGAAGACTCAGGTTACCTCACATTGGGACAAGTGGGAGCACCAAATATACAGGCTGGCAGGGGATATTAGGAAGGGTATATGGGATAGGGGACAAAAGAAGGAGAAAGAATTAAGGTTCAAAAGTTAGGGGATAAGAAAATGGGGAGCAGTGGATACAGTGTTTCACTTGGGGTGATAAAAATATGTTTGTACTGGGTAAACATGGCAGCTGCACAAAACTGCAACTACACAAAAGGCCACTGAATTGTTGAATGTAAAATGATTAAGTTTTGTTACATACATTTCACCTGGTAAAAGTAATTATGATGAATTAAAGAAGCCAGTTAAAAAGAGAACATACTACATAATTCCATTTATATAAAATTTTAGAAAATGTAAACTATTCTATCGAGAAAGAAAGAATGTGAGTGGTTGTCTGAGATAGTGGGAGTTGGGTGGGGATAAGAGGAAGGGATTACAAAGGCACATGAGAAACTTTTAAATGGAATGGAGACACATGTTGTGCGTATGAAGGTCAACAAACACATCAGGTTGTACACTGTACGTATGTGTGGTTTACGGTCTGTCACTTTTACCTAAGCCAAGCTGTAATCAATGCCTGATGACATGAATTGCTTGTGTGGTCAAGAGGAGAGAATATTTTTCCTATACTACTGTTGTTTCCAAGTGGGCACACCCTGGACATGTGCCCACAGGAGTGCGACAATGACAATAGCTGACCTTTTATTAGCACTCACTGGGTACTGGGCACCTGAGGCATTTTAGCTCATTTAATCACCCACATGAGTGAGTTATACTTATTTATTTCGCTTTAATTTCCCACCTTCTGACCTTTGCACATGCTGTGTCCTTTGCCTGCACCTTGCATTCCTGCCCCTTCACAAGCTCTAGGTTAGCCTGGGTTCATTCTCTGTTAGATGCTACTCTTCAGAAAAGTGTTAACAGGTTCTTTATGCTAGGTCAGAAATCCAGTCATGTGAGGTCATAACACTCCATATTCTACCATTTCAATATTTTTACTCATTTTTTCAAAGAACACCAACCAAGTGTTCCCCATCTGCCTGACACTCTTCTAATCAGTGGAAATACCATTGTGAAATGGAACAAAATTCCAGTCCTCATAGCCTGACATGCTGGGAGGAGGTGCACAACAATTCATACAATGACAATAGTAATGTGATACAGTCTATTAGACTAAAATAGGGCATGCTTGGGGTAATTTTTTTCTTTCAATTGAAAAAATGATGGATTAGCAAGGAGGGCATGAACTGATTGGATCAAAGAGAGCAAGAGATGAGAGAAGATGAAGTCAGAAGGAGAGAAGCCATCAGCCAGAACTTTGGCTTTCCTCTGAGTGAATATGAGAGCCCCGGAGGGGTCAGAGCTGCAAAGAGATGTGAGTCATCTGTGTTTAGTAAAGAAAACTAAAGTTTGTCAACCTGAAGTTTCAGTTTGAGGATGTTGATTATACGTCCTTTGAAGAAACAAAATTCAGACAAAACTGCTGACCCTCCCACATTCCTGTGAAGGCATTTAGACAGAAAAACTTACTTCAGGAAAAAAATGGAATTTTCATTTTGGGCTAATATAATTAACATGGTAAATAGGAGGGCTTTAGGCACGCACCTGTTGTCTTGGCACACCCTGTGTCCCACTCATCTGAGTTGCCTAGAAAAAAATCTCTTGCCATGCAGGATCTGCTCTTCTCAACTACCCTTAAATTCCTCATTCTGACAACTAGAATCAAGACCCCATTGTCTCTGTTTTTCTCCTTTGTCCCAAATGTTTTATATGCCTAATGTTGCCTTATGGTCACTAAAATTTTCATACTTATATGAATTCCATATGCTCACAGATTTAAAAAAACTTGATTTTTTTTCTTCTCAGCTGCCTCTGTTAATTTGATGATTAGCCCAGGCAAAAAAAAAAAATATTAGTAGATAGAAGTGACAATATTTCTACTTTTTAACATCAATATTAGGCAGGATTTGTGTGGCTGCTAGGTTATGGGGGTGGGGGGTCCTTTGAGAAGGCAAGTGCAGTCATCCAGGTGACAGGTGGGATTGAACAGACCAGCCTGGGAGGAAATGGGGTCTGTTTCAGGATTTGTCTTGAGCTCAGAGTCAAGAGAATGTGCTGGAAGACTGAATCTGGGGTGTGACACAAAGAGAGAAGTTGTGAAAACACAAAAAGATTCAGAAAGAGTCTCAAAGAACACATTGAGGTCAATACTTTGCCAGGGATTAAAAACCTTGAGGCATCCTGAAGTACCTTTTAAATATCAATTGTAAGGTAAGTAGTTGGACATCAGCAATCATGTCCAGTTTGTCTCTTTCATTGACTAACATGTCACCAGCACCCCATACAGTGTCTGGTAGGTAGTACAAGTCCACTACACATTTCCAGAATCAACAAGTGAACAAGGAGGAACAATTGAAAGGTCTTCTAGACAACCATACACAGTATTTTTTATCAAATAAGAAAATACAGGGATGCTACAGTTACCATGACTGCAAAGGGCCCTTATAAACCCATTTGGTGTTGTAAATCACATCAAGGCATTTCTTGAGGATTTGTGCTATACGCATTTTTAAAACTATGTTAAGTTAAACATGAAAGTACTTAAATGATATTTAAACAGAGAAGGTGCCACTCTGTAATTCTTGACCCCAATTCCTCAACAATAGAAATGGAACCGAAGTCCTTCAGGCAGCAACAAGCTCAGCAGGTACTAATTAAAATTAGGGACACGTAAAAACACAACAAAAGGATGAATTAAGCAATAAACAGTGATAACATAAACACTAATCTGAGACATGAGCCAGGGTCAGAGGACTCCTAGGTCTTCCTGGGCAGCTATGGATAAGATCACAAAACACATGCTGAGTTATATTCCAGGAACTAAGATGCCCACCAGAAGGAGGCTGTGGACCCCAAAGCCCGGAACATTTTTATTAGCAGATTCAAAGGTATCTCTTAATTTTTCAGTAATAAGTCAAAAGTTCATATGCTTATATGGCTAAAACGAAATTTGGTAATGAGTTAGGTGCACAATGACTTTCATTAAATGACTAGGTGTAGTAGAACTGAGCTGTCAGTGAGACTTGCTAAACCAGCCTAAGAGTCGTGGCTCTGCTGTGAAGGGAAGCAGAGCTGCTGCCCCAGGTTTGCCTTTTAGGGCATTAATTCTGATCTTGTTCTTGGTAAACAGAAGGCTCAGGAAAGAAAATGCTTTGACCTCTCTCCCCTCTTAACTGCCTAGAAAGTATTAACCAGCTGAAGGAGAAATACTGACATGAAGAAACCAAGCTAATATTTAATTTTAAAACATTTGCTTTGGAATCACCATACAAATGGATTTTTTTGTGTTTTGAAGCCTCAAACCACAAAGCTTATTTTTTTAAGCTTCAAAATGATGTATAAGCCTCAACTAACCAATATTTTGGGGCATCTCTAATTTTATTTCCTCAGAATATTCATTAGTATAATAGACTACCTGCATCTGCTTTGTTAATCTGTCCCTGTTAATTTGATTATTATCTCAGCTAGAGGAATTTAAAAAATGAAAGAAAAATAATTTTTTGTTCTCACAGATGGTTGTCTTTATCCTATTTAAAGAATAAATTTTAAAACACAACCTGGAAGGTGTGATAGAAACAAATGGAAGATTGTCAGTAAAATGGGTTGCAAGGGATATATTGTTCCTGATAAGAAAAGGATGTGACCTGCTAAGCATAAGATGGATGGATCTGTTTTCTGCTCTTGAATTAACATCACCAACACAATCCAAAATTTGGTTGCAGAACTCTGGGTTGTCTGAAAGCAGGAAGACCTCTGGTTTCTAATTACTAGAAACCCTTAAACAGAATGATGCTGGGGAAGAAATGAATCAGATAATAAAAACTTACATCGTAACTGAACTATCCTCATAGCCCATGGCTTTAAAAAACACCTCAATCATAATTTTTTCACTTTCCTGCCTTAGAAGACCTTAAATGTAAGACCCTAGGGGTTTTCTACTTTTGAACATCAGCTGCCTATTCTGCTTTCAATGTTTCCTTTGAAATATATGCTATTTTTCCTTTCACTGCAACCTGGTGTCCGTTTTTTGTTTTGTTTTGTTTTGTTTTTTGTCTTTTCAGGCAGCTGGTGAATGGCTCCACTTTGGGGTAGAAAACACTCTGTGTGCATGTACAGGCCTGTGCCTACATGGTTCCTGGGAAGGGCTCACGGCTTCAGGCCTCACCCTGTGAGACCTGGGAGAATAAGAAGTGAACATGGCCTCTCAATAGGTGAGAGAGGGGAGTGAACTCAATGTCTGCTCAAACTCCCTGAGCACCTCATAGACGCAGGTTACACACAATCTCATAGTCAATTCCAGCATCACACCTGCCTGGTTTTTTTCCCTATGGGATAAAGAGCTTTTATCTTCAATTAACAATCAATTTTCTATTGACATGTCCACAATTTGATTTAGTTCTGACACTGAGTACCCAAAGTGTGTGCAGACCCCACAGGTTCAAGGCTCAGTAATATGAGACTGACACCACGTTTGATGCAATTGCAAGTGGGCTGCCTGGGCTACTCACATTGCTGCCTGCAGCTACAGATTTGGGGATTTTTATTACCCACCGAAGGTACTATAATTATCTAGAAAGACTCACAGGACTCAGAAGTGGTTTCACTTACTATTACTAATTTATTAATAAATTAACATAACTCAGAACAGCTGCATGGGAGGAACTCACTGGGCTGGACACTGGGTGATAGCAATGCAGCTTCCATATCTTCCCTGGGCTTCTCCCTCAACCCCCACCATCTCAGAACCTCTCTGAATCTTATGTTTAGGGGTTTTTTGGAAGTTTTCTTCTGTTGATATGATTGATTAAATAATTGGCCATTGTTAATTATCTCTAGCTTCTCCCACTTTCCAGGATTTTGAAGGATTAGAACATATGGATACATAAAGCCACATACTAACCTGAAAACCTCAGGGGAGGCTTGCATGGTGAAACTTACAAACTCGGAGATCTAAAGTAACCACAAGGGAGAATCTGAGATTAAAATTTAGGAACTAACAGCTAATCATGGCAGGTAGTCAAGTTTTACACTAGGTTCTTTTCTAAAAAATGTCCATCTTTATTTTAATTCAATCTATCTAGTGTCTTTTTGCATCTCTGACAATATATCTTTCAAATGCCAGGGTAATGTTCTTTTTCCTGGAACCCTCACTGCACCAGAGCAGAGACAAGAAAATTTCCCATGGTTATTGGTATCATATTCATTGTTAATTGCTAACTATCCTGCACCCACCAATGTAAAAAAGCTGTATGTCCATTTGTTTTCCTTTTTATCCAGTCCCAGAGACTTCACTCATTTTGCTCTCTCCTGCCTCCCTAAAATATCACCAACGGATTTTAAGTAACCCCTTATTCATTTCCTGTTGATTGCAATGTATAAGATAAGGTGCAAAATTGCCATTCCCTGGAGTAATTTTTCAATTTGTTGAGAGATTCTTTCCCAACTTAAATCAACTCATAAAAATTCTCTACATTCTTAAACATTTCTTACTTTGACATTTACTTGGCACAGCGTGGCAGGATTCCAGAAGTCCACCAGGATCACCTTGCTAGGTCCCAGCATGGGGCACGCTGGGCCCCACTAACACATAGCATTGTATCAGATGAGCTTGGGTAAGTTTGCTGAGAGTTCTGGAACTCTCTCTTTTAAGCTAAAAGGCCTAAATTTATTTAAGCTTTTTAAAAAATCCTCAAGGTGTTCCTAACCTTTAAATGTTGAGAGAAACCAAGCCAACAGAGTTGAAAATTCAGAACAGAAGAAAAAAGGATGGCTGGATTTTTAACCTTGGCTTTCCATTGGAATTGCTCTTTGAGAGTCTGAACAAAACATTGTGCTAGACAAATGAGAGACTGGACTTGATCGGCTTTGAAGACCAAAGGCACTCCCTCCCTCAAGTCCAATCTCAGGTATTCTTAAGTGACTAAGAATCTCTGCGCAGGTGTCTGAGGAATTCCCTCAAAACATATAGGACCTCATTGAGAATTCCAACTCAACTGTAATGAAATAATTGACTTGTACAAGGATGCACATATGAAGGTTAGTTACCTAGCACCCAGGAGGGAACCTGAGATATAACATAAGAGGGTTTGAGGCAACTCTGGAAGTGACAGCCCCTTGGAGCTCAGGCTATAAGCAGCCCACTTCAACCTACCACACAATATACTAAAGATTTGATCAGAATTTGCAAATATCTAAACTTAAATTAGTATGGGAAATAATGCCTGAAAGACTGAAAACTCAGCTGCAGCCCCTATTACTCCTTCTGCAGATAGGCAATAAATAGGAAGATCTTACTTTCAAGCACTTACAGAAATGGAAAGATTTCATTAAAATAGATATCAATTTATGATGGCCAATTAAAACTCTTTTGATACCTAATTAATATTTTTCATGCAATATTAGATAAAAATAGCTCTATATATTTATTGTAAATTAGAAGCTTCTAAGTGGCATACACATGGTTTTATTGAAAGTTAATAAAAACTATTAGCATCTATGAATGAATGAAGTCTTCTGTAGCTAATAAATGCAGCACCACAGTCCTTCTCCTTCTACAGTTTAATTACTATATCCTTTGCTATCTCAGGTTATGTGTCTGGATTTACCCTCTTTTTTTCTTTTTTTCTGCTTTTTATTTCCTTTATATCTACTCACTACCACTCCCTAAAAAAATGAGAAATAGAAATTTAGACAAGAATAATCCAGGAATTCTGGCAACTCCCTTCAGGGAAGAGCCAGTCCCAGGCAGAGGGAACCCGTGATTATATATATTCCAAAAACTACAATAGAATTTAACATCTATCTAAGGATTTCATCTATTTTCTCTGGGACACTGATTAGTTTACAAAATAATGACAAATTGACTGTTAGAATATATCTCTGGCTATTCTGACCTATTCCAAATAAATTTCTCTGGCAAACTCCTATAGAGAATTCTGTTCACCCTACAAAAGACTATAGAAAACTGAAATAAGATTCAGGAAGAGAAAAAAAACAGAAACAAGCATACGTTTGTTCTGAGGACTATAAGGGTGTTCCCTTTTCACCTTGCTAATAGTTAAAAAAATTAAAATTACTATGATAGGAAGCCCTGGCTGGCATAGCTCAGTGGATTAAGCATGGGCTGTGAACCAACGTGTCGCAGATTCGATTCCCAGCCAGGGTACATGCCTGGGTTGCAGACCATGACCCCCAGCAACTGCACATTGATGTTTCTCTTTCTATCTCCCTCCCTTCCCTCTCTTAAAAATAAATAAATAAATAAATAAATAAATAAATAAATAAATAAATAAATAAATATTTTTAAAAATTACTATGGTAGGGAAATTACTAAGACCCTTGTAGGTATTGGGGCTACTTTATCTGTTCTTGACCACATCCAACTAAGTTGTCTTTTCCAAGGAGGAAAGCTTCAGTGCAAGTGGTAGGAACATCTAATCAACCAATGACTGTTCTTAAATCACAACCTGCCCCTTGCAACTATTAAAGGTGAGGAGACAACATACGTATTTACTGGTCTCATCAGCCTCATTTCACCTACTAAAGGGAGACTTTTTTAAAAAAACAATGGCACCCATATATATTTTTTTTTCCGGAAGCATGAAGTATATTTAGAACTAAATTCTTTGGGTACTGAACCAAAGGGGAAAATAATAAGTATGAAGGAACTTTGTCAAGAAGAAAGCAATGTTGAGATTGGTTGTTACTTCCTGGATGCTAAATGCAACTGAGAGCTCTTTCCAGTACAGATATTGGCAAGATCAATCAGCCACTTCTGTTAAATAACTACTGATAATACATGGCTTCTGCCTAATATTTGCCATTATCCTGAAAGACCAGATTAACTACCTAGAATTAATCCTATTATACAAAATTATTTTTAAAAGGAACTTAAAATTTCATATAGAAGTTTCTGTAATTCTCCTATTTTTCCAGTAAAGAAACTGAATAAAAAGAATGGAGATTTGTACATGAACTCAACACTATTAATAAAATACTCACAAACATCTTGTTTCAAAGCCAAATACCTATTTATCAGCCACTTCTGTGGACTGTGAACATTTTTCAGTAATAGATTTATGTAGCACCTTGTTCAGTATTTCAGTTTAAAAAAAAGGCAACATCTCTTTGCCCTCAGTAGAAATAATTGCCAATTTACTTAGACTGAAATGCACCAGGGATATACAGTGAGTCCCAACTATTTCTTCCAGACACTAAGAGCTGGTTTAAATAATGTTAAATTACCTAGAGATCACACTCTAATTCAATATGTAGATGTTTTACATTTATCCTCTAGGAAATATTAGACTTTCAAAGGACACCACAAACCTATTATAACAACTAGGTACAAAAGGACATCAGTTATCAAAACATAAGCTTTAATTTTGTTAACTCAAGTAAAATATTTTGGTCATTTCATATCTAAAGATGAGTACTCATTAATCTTTAAAGACTCAGAGAATGGCTATATTTCCCTTGTTTTATAAAAGGAAGCAACACAGAGAATCCTTGATTTCACTGGATATCATCACAATGGGATTTCAAAATTCTATTGATGTTCCAGGCTTTATATGTCCTACTAGAGTCAAGTTAGCTGGATTCATTGTGGAACCCAAAAGGAAAACAAGCTGTAGAATCTCTAAAGAAATATTTAAAGCTCCTGCTCTGACAAACCTTAGGTACACACTTTCAAACTTTATATACAAAAAAACAATTCAGAAGTTTTAACTCAAAAAAATAGAAATCATCAGAGACCAACAGGATATGAGAGTCAGCAGTTAGACTCAGTAGCCAAAGGCCTCCCTCCCTCCATGACAGTCATCTCTGTGATTGATATATTATGCAAACAGACAGAAAGATAGTTACAGGTTCTCTTTGTTTATGTTCCTAAATTTGTTGAATCTCTACCGAATTCTCATCACAATCAATAATTCTGATAGTTTCTTCCTCTCTGTACCTAATATTTTTAACTTGACATAAGAGCCTTGATGCAGTAACCCTGCTAACTTCCTTGCAGAATACACACATCCATGATTGTGTTTTGCCCACTGATGTTCTTCTTCTTCTGAGGAATGGTTTACAAGAAAGCCCTCAATGATGCTGACCTAACTTGGTTTACACATGGACCCGTGAAAGAGAAACAGGAATGGAACCAAACTGGATGTGCTAGAATTCCTATGATGGACATAAATGAAAGTATTTTTTACCTGAATAGTAAAGGGCCAACAAGCTAAATTAATTTTTCTAACTTGGGTCTGTAAATTGGCCAAAAAAAATAGCTAATATTGGCACTAATACTAGATGTGCCCTTGGTGTTGCTCACAACTCTAGAATATTATGGATGGAGCAATGCTTCTGAACACCCTCAGGGAAGTACACTAAGAAAATAAAAGAAGCTGCAGAATTACTAGATGTTATACAGATAGTGAAATGATTTGTAATTATTAGCATTTCAGGACATTCTAAAGCATGGAAGCAAAAGAAAAATATTTAGCTGATGATGAAGCCAAAAAGGGAGTATTAAATACCCCATTATTTTGACATGAGAATGCTTGTTTCTTCCTACTCAGTCAATAAAACATTCTCCTTTACTGTTCCAATGGACCGCTGCAGAAAAAGAGAAAGGGGAGATGGCAACAAATATGAGGAATTTTGAACCAGATAAACAGATATGTTCTTCATCAAAACCCAATCTTATCTATAGGGACTCATTTACTTGTACTTTCACATGTACGTGAGCTAAAACATTGAGGTTTTAAAATGTGATTTCACAAAGTCGACAATATTCCCAGTAGACTGGGAACCTCCTATGGTAGGTAGCTGGGAAAGTGGGAGGCAGATGTTCTATCTGTCCAAATATAACCCGTGAATATCATTCAATGGTCCCAAATACAATTCCCACTTTCTTCAGAACCACTTGAACTATTTTAATTGAAGTTTATTTAAAGGCTAT